TTTATTACCTAATTTGGTAAAGTGGTTTTTGTTTCACCTATTGAATAGTTTGTGAAGCTCCACACCAAAAAGAGGCTTGATATAGTTTATGAAATATATCTCTGAGCATTGAAAAAAAAAACCATTACATTTTAGCTTTATTTAATTGTCTTATTAAAATTGAAACCTTTTAAAGTTTTGACATTATTTAAAGCCACATTTACGTTAACATTGGTTTAAATGAGCTGTAGCATAGATAAACATTTTCTGATTTTATTGAAGTTTGTTTAAGATATAAATAAGATATAAAATATAATTATAATATATTAAAATATAAATAGTATTTAAAATATAAATATATATATATATATATATATATATATATATATATATCTGTGTGTGTGTGTGTGTGTGTGTGTGTGTGTGTGTGTGTGTGTGTGTGTGTGTGTGTGTGTGTGTGTGTGCAAAGAATGAATCAGCTATTTGTAAGTTTAAAAAAATAATAAAGAAATCAGTCAATTTAAATGAAGTTGAATAGTTTTTCTGCTCAAACTTAAGATTATTGTAAAATATTTTTATCAGACTAACTTGCAAAATTTTAATTGAAACTTTTCTGAATAGAGTTTTGGCTATAAACATATTGTTACAATGAAGAATCTAGAAGTTCTTGGCTTGTACACTCAAAATACAGATGTATGCATTTACAATTATTACTTATATGCGGTTGGTACAGTTGTTAAGTTGTGTTGTCTTTTTAATCTATTATTGTATTCTAAATAATTAATAGTGAGTTTTTTTTATTATAGTTAGGTTTTTTTTATTTATATTATATATAATAGAAGATTTCGTAATTAAGCGGCTTTTATGAATCATGTGATGCAATGTTTTTCAGGAGGGCAAAAATGTAAACAAACCAATAATAAACATATAAGAAAAAGATAAGAAATAATACATCAGGTAAATAACAAATAAATAACAAATAAGAAAAAATACATCAGGTGCGTAATTTTAAAAATGATATACGTTTACAAAAATAAACACAAATAAAATGAAAGTCGAAAAAAATTTAGTAAAGAATATTTTATTTATACTTTTACCTCAATAAAATAGAAAAAGATACAAACCAAAAAATTATTCTTATTAAAGCAGTGAGTTTTTGCAAAGAATTTATTTGCTTTCTTATTGTTTAAAAATAATTCTGTATAATATAACTTTGGTTATTCTCTTAACTTTTAATTAAGTTTTAATCTTTTTGTTTGAATATTTATTATCATGTTGTGTTCATTACTAAGTTTTTACTGTTTACTATCTCAGTTAAAAAAAACATTATGGTTAATGATCGCTGTGTAGTTGGTATTTGCAATAACCATAAATGTTATCCAGAGCGTTACGAAATACATAGTAACGTTAAATCTGGAAAATTATGTTTCCACAAATCGCCTGTTGATGGAAAAACAAGAAAATCATGGATTCATGCAGTTTCTAAAGGGCGAAAACACTTTGTTATACCTAAACGTTTTAAAATCTGCTCTAATCATTTTGTTGATGGCATGCCCACTTATGAAAATCCTAACCCAACACTCTTTTTGACATACACCATGAATGTTCAATGTACTGGAAAAAAAACAATCAAGACCTCCTCCAAAAATCAGAACAACATCTATTGTAAAACCTGTTTCTTCAAAAATGATTGAATCTATTAACTCTAACTTCGATACACTTACAGCTGAAGAGTTGTCAGATCTTATGATTGTTTCTTCAGACAAAGAAAGCCTTATATCGTTCGAAATAACTCCATATGTTAGTGGCGATGCAGTTGCAGCAGAATTATTACACATCTGTGACTCTGCCAAAGAATTATTACACCCACCCGCCTCTCCCAAAGAAAAAGACACTGTAAATCCAATTTTGTCTAAGAATAAAGCAGGCTACAGTGTTAAAAATAGTATAGAGCCTACTCTATTATCAACATATACTGCTTTACAGTTTTGTCATATTACTAGAGACTCAGATGTATTGACTTTTACAGGTTTACAAAATGCAAAAATGTTTCAAAGTGTTTTCAATTATGTCAAGCACAAAGCAGCAGTTATGAAATACTGGGATGGAAATAAGAGAACAAATCGATTACGAAAAACCATATCCAGTGTTGAATCCGTCGAGCAGCTACGCTTATCAGAAGATTATACTATTAGCGATAACTTATTTCCTATGAGAAAAAGTGGACCTAGAAGAAAAATCTCACTGGAACAGGAATTTCTTTTAGTTTTGATGAGATTACGTTTGGGTCTTTTAATTGAAGATTTAGCTTTCCGCTTTTGTATATCAGCTGAAACAGTTTCCCAAATTATTATTACATGGGTAATATTGTTATCTAAAGAGTTGGACAGCCTAATCTTGTGGCCTAGCCAGAATACAATTCGAGCAACTATGCCAAACTGTTTTAAGCGATTATATCCAAAAGTGAGAACAATTATAGATTGTTCTGAAATATTTTTTGAAACATCAAGTGCTCTTGATGTTCAAGCTTGTATGTGGAGTGACTATAAACATCATGCAACAGTCAAATTTTTAATAGCAATAATTCCGAATGGAGCCATTTCATGGCTGTCTCCCCTTTATGGTGGATGAAATGGCTCCGAATAGAGCCATTTCATGGCTGTCTCCCCTTTATGGTGGATGTGCCTCTGACATTTTTATTGTCATAAATAGTGGTTTTCTTGATACACTTGAGCCCTATGACCAAGTTATGGCAGATCGTGGCTTTAAAATAAGGACAGACCTTGCATATAAACAGTGTACTCTTTGTATACCTCCAAGTGCTGTTAAAGGAATTCAAATGTCAAAAGAAGAAGTTCGAGAAACATCAAACATTGCAAATGTACATATTTATGTGGAGCAAGCAATAAAAAGGATAAAACATTTCCGTATTTTAAAAATAACACAGCCATTACTATACCTACCTATCATGAATAATATACTACGCGTATGTGCTGCTATATCAAACTTGAGAAAACCATTAGTTTCTAAATAGTTCATTAAACAAATTTAGTTTACTAAATAGTTTTTTTTATTGTATAATATAATATGCCATTGTCCAAACTTTAGGTTATTATTATAACATGAGTTTATATCAACTAGGGTTTAAAAGATGTGTAAAAAAGTTTTTTTTTTAAACCAAACCAGCCCCGAAAAAACTTTTTTTTGAAAATCTTTTGAAAATGCAGAAAGAATTAAAAAAAATGTAAATAAAAACAACATATTTATCTACAACTCTTAATAAAATATCCATTGAAGATTTAAGCTAAACATAAACTAGACATTGAGCACATGCAACAAACCCAGTCTAGATCTGCTATTAACTCATAGTCTTCTTTTTTTAAATTTTGACATAAACGGTGAAACCAAGCGCAACATACTTCACATTGAATACTGCTAAATTCATTAAATTTTTTAACATTGATTTCTGGATCTTTGAGTATAAGTTTATCGCATTTTCAACAGAATGTTATAGGTTTTATTAGTAATAATGCTGGAGAAACATATGTTTTGAAAAAAATATCTAAATTTGTTTTCACCGTATCCCAGAGCTCTTGATCAAATTCGATTACTTCAACATATAAGCCCTTAAGTGTCCAAACAATAAAATATGCTGACTTGCAATTTGTAATTGCCATTTGGGAATTAATCTGTGTGTAATATTTATGACACCTATTTAATGTTATTTGATCATTTTTTATTGTAAAGAAATTACAATCACTAGCTCCTTCTTTGATTGTTTTATTAAAAATTTTAAAAGGACATTTAACTTCTAAACACATTCTACCATGACATTTGCATACCATAAATCCATCTGGGGAGCAAGCAATGTAAGGTCTGTCATACAAAATAAAGAGACCACTTTTTTCAATTTTTAAATCAGTGTGATTTGATACATGCTCTGCATAAAATTTTTTTATAGCATCTTGCTCATGATCAATTCCCCATTTGATAGAAGCAGTAACAAATGTTTTTTTATGAAGGTATAAAATCTCAGCAAGAAGTGGAGTTGTTTTAGGCTTCTTAGAACTTGTATTTCTAGAAAGAGTATTAACTTTGGTATATATTCTGTGATGTTTGGATGCAGTTATCCTCCCCTTTCTCATTTGAAACCAGGTATTGCTTTTAGCTTGATCTCTTGTGTTATATTCCACGTTTTTAATTGTTTCATGTGTTAAAACCATTTTTTCTAATAATATTTTGCCTAATGTTGACTCATCAGCGTTAGGATGGTCTAAAAGTATTTCAAATGATAGCTTTTCAAGATCAGGATTACTTACAATATTTTCATCAGATTTTTTGATTTTTGATTTAAATATTACAGCAGAAGGCTCGGATATATGAATGTTGTTTAAAAAAGTTTCAAATGAATGTTCATTAAATTCACTATGACTTTCGATTCTTGGATCGAATTCTTGCAATGCTTTCATCCTTTGTGTTTTCCTTATTATTATCATTTTTTTCATTATTTGCAATTTTTTTTCTAACTACTAGGTCAGTTATTAAGCACGGTTTTAGATCTTTTCTAGAAGACTTATTCCAGACACAAGCTTGTTCTGTGCATGTTGGATTACACCAACCTTTGTTATTAGCATATTCCATTTTATAAAGGGTGGCAATGACATGATTACAAACTTCAAAAGCTCCAGCCATACACGAACACCAAGCAGAAAGAATATCATTATTACAAAAGGCAATCCAAAGCTTTCTTTTTTTGTGAATTTTTTGCGAACACACTTTAGAATATGCGAATAAAACATCTTTTTTAAACCTGAAGTGCATTATTGGGCCTACAAAACCACTATCGAAAAATGAAAATGCTTTTTGGTCCTTATATTTGCCAATATATTCCGAATCAAAATATTTTTTATTAAGAATATATGAAAAAATATTTCCCATTGTTATACTAGGCCACTCAGATACTAAGTCTTTTCTATTTTCCATTGGAACAGAGTTTGGGTCAATTAGATCTAAAGCTTTTAGCTTGTCCGTATAAGATTGCTTAAGTTTTTTTTCCTGTTCTTCTGCTGTCTCTATAACATCTATATTTAATACCATTGCAGAAAATGCTCTAACAACAGCTCGACTTTGCGACCAGTAGTACTTAGCCCACGAACAGTTAAAAAACTAACAAACTGTTTAACAGATAAATTCAAAAAATCTTTGTATTTTTCAAGTGGCATGGTAAAATACAATTTTCAATTATATATTTCCAGATAAACTATTTTTAGATATTTAAACAAACAATAAAAAGATAAAGCGTTTTGCCAAGTTTTTTTTTTAATTTTGCCCTCCCGAGAAAAACATTAGGTCACGTGATTCATAATTGCCGCTCAATTACGAAAAGGTCTATTATAAGAGTATATTGTAAAGTATTTTTTTTTTTTTTCTTTTTAATATTTCTTTATCCTTTACAGATATTGAAAGCTTGTGAGACATTTTTATTGTTAAAAGTAAAATATTATTACTTTGAATTGTATACATATTAAAAAATAATATGAAAAACATTAAAGAAGTATTAAAATGTTGTTTCCAATCAAATATTTGATGTAAGAAATCTGTTTAGCTTGAACTAAACATAACAATCAAAGCTCACAGTGAAATATAAAATGCGAGTAGAATGTTTTTGTAAAGCAAGCAAAGAAAAGTGAACAGATGTCTAGAATGAACAAAGTTTTATTTTAAGTAAAAAGAAACATATTCACAAAATATAGTCAAAAATGATTTATTGGTAATGAACATCTTAATCAAATATATTGATGATCAAAACAGTTAAAATGTGTAAGCTGTGTAGAGTAACATTAACAAATGATTTTGATGATATGTTTGATGGGTTTAAGATGATAATTTAACCCATTAGGTTTTAAGATGACTTGATAGGTATCACATGGCGACTTGATCGGTGTAAGAAGCTTACTGGGTGCTAAGAAATAAAATATTTCAATAAAGTAACAAAATAAAATGTAAATAAATAGTAAAATTATTGTTTTTTATTAATTGAATTATTATTTTTTTTGAATCACGACCTTGGTAGTGTGTTTTGTGTGTATATAATACCAACGATTTTTTTTTAAGTTTGTGTGTTTGGGTCTGATTCTCTCATTTTTTTCCCGCATAACAACAGCCACCACAAAAAAAGATGTTTTTTTGGAAAATATCTGATCAAGCTATAAAAATCATAAGTCAGAGATAAATCCTATGTATTCTATCAGAGCTAGTTTAGAGTGTGGCTAAACTAATTTAAAAAAGATGAATTTTCTACTCTGGTATCCAGTTATGATTTTACTCTATGATAGATGCACTACTTTTACAATTATTGGTATTTGTATATTTTTATATGTATGTGTTTGTTGTATATGTCTATATGTACATATGAGTGTGTGCATGTAGATGGCATTAAAGTTAATTATATACATTTGGTGTTGCTTATGTAGTTGTTTCTTTAGCTGGTTTCTGATTGTTGCAATACAAATTTTTTTCATCAAGTATATTATAATTATAACCTTAAACAAATATTATTGTTAATAAGCAAATGTTAATACTGTTCAACCCATAAACCAAGAACAATTAATGTTTGTGGTTTTTGGGTTGTGGACAATTGACCTTATTTATTCTTTCATCTAATGACTTTTATGTTTTTCTAGAAAAGAAACATATTTCCAAAACTAAAACGCAAGTTCAATTTGGTAAATATTTATAAAATTAATTTTACAACTTTTTATGAATTTATTATCATTATTATTATTTTAATAATTATTATTATTTTAATAATTTTAAATATAAGTTAATGCAATTAATATTTATTTTTTATTAAAATTTATATTTATTATTACTACTATAAGTTGGTCTAACTCTCATGCTTAAAAAACCAAATGGAAGCTTCATTTGTGTCACATTTTTTGTGTGTATATATATATATATATATATATATATATATATATATATATATATATATATATATATATATATATATATATATTCATATATATATGGGCGATTCTGCAAGAAAAAAGGGGGGAAAAAATTTAAAAAGTCATTAAAACATATACAAAACTCAATAACTCTTTTTTTTAACTATTTAAAAATACTTTTAAGCAAAAAAGTTATTTTAAAAAAATCACTTTATCATACCATAGCATGGTTTTAATGTTGTAAGGGTTGTATAAATGTATTTTGACGCTTATTTACAGTCCTGCTATGTAGCATTAAAAATTATATTATATATTCATAATTGAGAACTTTGATAATATTATAGTGCGTTTTTTTAATATAATATACATGGTGGTTAATAATCATTTATACTTTTTTTCTCACATCATTGATTACGTTGTTTTATTTGTTGTTTTTAAGCATTGGATTTTTCATTATGATCATCACAGTTGCAACTGTCACAACGGGAAAAACATAAAAATTCTTGTAAAACTCCAAGTAAAAATTATGAACCTCAGCAAATAATAACATCAATATGTGCTAAATACACAAATGATTTTTTTTTTACAATATCATTTGCTACATTAAGTTTGACAAAGTTATTTTTGTTTCATAAGTGGTATTACGACCATCACACTATGTAGAGTTAATTTTTGAAAAAACTTGAAAATTTTAATGCTGCATTGTTTAAGTTCTAAATTATATGATAGTATTTCACATTTCTGGAAAGTTTCAAGTCATTTCCATTTTTGGTTTATATATATATATATATATATATATATATATATATATATATATATATATATATATATATATACATACATACATACATACATACATACATACATACATACATACATACATACATACATACATACATACATACATACATACATACATACATACATACATACATACATTCATACATACATATATAAATATATATATATATATATATATATATATATATATATATATATATATATATATATATATATATATATATATATATATATATATATATATATATGTATATACAGATATTATATAAAGGCCTTGTTAAAGCATTTGGCTGTTTGCTTTTTTTGTACAAAATGGTGATTTTACCTATGGGTTAATTCATTTACCTTATGCCAAAACTAAAATAAATTTGTTATTAAATATTAATAAATTTAAATATATTTTATTAAATGGAAATTAAATGGAAAAAATAATCAAATGGAAACTGGCATACATAACCCCAATAATCAAGAAAGGGAACCGGTTAATTGCTAGCAACTACAGTTACATTAATCTCAATAGTCTCTAAAGTACTCAAAAGTATATCTGACACAATATGTCAAATAATGGTCTATTAAATAAACATCAACATAGATTTTTAAAGAAAAAATCTTATTTTAAAAATCTAATTGAATCAGTGGACCTTTTGAATAAATCACTATTTTATCTTAACTTTAATAAAGCCTTTGATAAAGTACTTCATGAACGATGAATCAAACTTTAATAAAGCCTTTGATAAAGTACTTCATGATGAATCAAACTTAATTTGTATGAAATATCAAGTTTCATATGCAGCTGGAGTAGCAACTTTTTAATTAATTGACACCAAAAAGTGATACAAGGCAATGAATCATCATACTGGGAATTATACCAACCAGTGTTCCCCAAGGATTGGTAATTTCTCCGATTTTATTTATTATATATATTAAGAATTTACCAGAAATTTTAGAACACTCTAAGCTCTTTGCAGATGATACCAAGTTAATCAGGAAAACAGCTAACTTTGTGAATGTTTAATTGCTTTAGAATGAAATTAACCAAGCCTCCAAATGGTCAGAGATCTGGCAATTACAATTTAATAGTGAAAAATGTTATGTTATGCACTTTGGAAAAAAATACCTTGTATTACAAATTGTAGTACAATGTACAATCTATTTTAAAAAAATAAATAATGTAGAACTAAATAGTAATATTTTTGCCTCGTACCAGCCCAACTCAAGGGGCCATAATTTTAAAGTCTGAAGAGAAATTGTTGAAAAATGCAATATTCATCATCAGTCCTTAACTAATAGTGTCATATCAATGTGGAACAAACTACATGATTTTATCATCAAAAGTGAAAGCATGAACTTATTAAAAACTTGCATTGATAAATATCTAGAGCTATATGATTTGTAATTTATAATTCAATTTATTTACCTAGAAAAACTACATAATGTATATGCTGTCAAAGTGAAATTAATTACTACAGCTTTCTAATATATTACATATTATATTGAATTTAATTTTAATTTTTTTTTAAATATAAAATGCTATGTTTTGCAATTTTTTTTTTTTAATTTTAGAATCATGTTAAAAAAAGAAAAATTCTTCTTATCAAATTTAATTTGTTACTTTTTTATATTCATTTTACATTTAACTATTTTGTTTACTTATTCATAGTTTCAAGTCAATAATTTTTTTATCTTGTTACAAAATTGCTAATAAACAAAAGCCATTAATGTTTATAACTGTAAATAAATGCATTTTTGGATAAACCATAATCAAGACTGTAGGGAAAACTATTTTAGAGAATTATTTTAGTAAACTTTATTTAACAAATTTATAAAAAGATGATTTGTTTTTAGCAGAGTTGTTAACAAGGCCAAAAATAGCAAGACCAAGGTCAAGGCCACATGTTCCAAGGCCAAGACCAAGGCCAAAGTTCCAAGGCCAAGGCCACGAGTTTCAACGCCAAGGACAAGAATTTCAAGGCCAAGGGTTTCAACACAAACATTTTCAAAACCAAAGACCTAAATTGTCGGTCTTAAGTCAAGGCCAATTATTAAAAAACTACAGGTACCAAGTACAGTAACAAAAAAACTACATGTTGTGAAATTAGAGCAAGGCTATGCGCAGAAATTGACAATAAAAAGATGTATGTGATATGGAGATGTATATGAAAGAAAAAAACAAAAAATATAAAAATTAAAACTTTTAACTCTTTAATTTTATGCACTTTTTATTTTTATTTAAAATATATTGATATTAGTTGCTAGTATTAACTATAAGTCATAAGCATTAACTACCACAATTTGATATTTGTTGCTAGCATTAACTATAAGTCATAAGCATTAACTACCACTATTTGATATTTGTTGCTAGCATTAAATATAAGTCATTAGCATTAAACTACCACTATTTAACTTATAAGTCTTTATTACATTTAAGAGAAATTAATGTTTCAAGCAAGGAATTGGTCATGTGAGTTCTATGAGGGCGCATTATTAATCCACTCTGAAAGAAGACATGCTTAACAGGGGCAGATGTTGTTGGGACACAAAAATACTTGTCAACAAAGTTCTGATTTTTGAATAGTGTTCCATTGTGTACAGTTTTTTCAACAGAAACTCTTTTTGATCAAAATTTAACAAATTTATTTGTTCAAGATAGTTTGTCAGTTGTTGTCAACCCCGCTGACAATGCTAATCTGTGCCTGTAAAACATGATTTTTTCTATAATTTGCAAAAAGGCATTTTTTATTTGGTAAAGGGCTCTTGAATCTGAGTTGTAGTTACAGTAGTTTTACTAGATATTTATATGGCTTCTTGTGCTGTTTTTAAGCAAATTTTTGATAGTTCAGTGTAGAGAAGACCTGAAAATAAAATGTTTGAATATTGAAAGTTTTTTATTCAATCTTTTTGTTTATAACCACTTTTTACTAAGCACTGCATTATTTTTTCAAAATCAACTACGTCACCCCTCCCCCTCCCTACACCCCCAAAAAAGTTTTACAAAAAATCAACTCACTATTTTATTTTTAACTTCTTCCTTTAGCTCATATGTGCCAGGATGATTTTCAAGCCAATGATATGCATACATCAGGTCCATTGCACTGGCCATCATAAATAAGTTATCGTCAAAGTTCAAATTATGAATTTTTGAATATGATGCATTTTTATATGGACGGTTAATTTTTAGAAATGAAAATATACTATTAAAACGGTTATGTAGTCCTTGTAACAGGGTTTTGATCATTAATGAGAAAAAAATGCTGTTTCTTAACATTTCCTCTAGAATTTTAGATTGAAAAAAAAAAATGGAACAACACAACTGATAGTTACTACTTTATCACCCTGAATAAGATCTGTTGCTTCAGCAAAAGGTTCCAATATGTACACCCATTCTTGCAGCTGGTTTAACTCTTTGGCTGATAAGATTAGATTTTCTAGGTTTGACTCACGCAAACCAGTGCCTAACTTGGTTTGATCATGTGAAACAATTACCTTTAACTGACTAAATGTACTGTCCCAACGAGTTTCATTTTTAGATGGAACACAATGCCCTTTTCCCATTGCAGACTCATAATCACTACGAAATAGAGAACTTTGATGTAATAATTTTTGAAGTTTAGAACATTTTGAACGAGTAAACTTAAAATTTGTTAGTGACTTTAATCCATCAGGAACTATTAATTGCAGAGAATGAGCAAAGCAAGGTATTCGCTTTGCAGGTTTATTTAGAGACTCATTTAGATCTATATCATCTTCAACTGGGTCTTCCCACAATGGTGGATCAGCCTCATTATCCAAATGATCTTTATTGGCTATGTTTTTTTCTAAATTTATTGTCTCCAACTCATCTGCTATTTTTCTTCCAGTATGTGATCCTTGGAAGGAACGAAATGCAAGAAGATGAGACAGTGGTTTACCATTTATAAAATCATGTAAAGTGACCGCAAGAAATGCATGTGCTCTTCTATTGGTCCATATATCTGTTGTTAGTAAAAGATAAGACGATTTCACTAAAAACTGATGTAATTCTGTGAGTTTAACTTGTTGCATTTTTGGTAAAATTCCATATGCAATTTTTTGCCTGTATGGTAATATAAACTTCGGATCAATCTCTTTCAAAAACTTTCAGAAATCCGTGTTTTCAGTTAATGAAATTGGCAAACTACAATTTACAATGACGTTGGTTACAAATTATTGAGTAAGTAACTTTTGGTGAGGGTGTTGTGAACTGTAAGAAACATTTTGGTCTTCTTTTTTTTTTTGTTTAGTTAAAAAAGTTGTCATTAAAGGTTAATTTTTAGTGATCTGATTCTTCTTGTACTGTTCATATAATGACTCATGTTCGCAAGATAAATGTCTAAAATATAAACAAATGTGTAATATAAATATATCATCTTTTGATATATATATAAAAAAATTAACCTTAAGTCAAATGAAGAGAACTGTATAAATAATAACTATTGTGAATGTGAATTATTCACTTACTTCGCAAATTCTGAAATTACATCGTGTGTTTCTGTAATACTAGAATGACATGTAAAACATTTAGCTGACCATTTATCTCCAATTATAAGAAAATTTTTGAATCCAAAATTGATGACTGATGGCAAACCTTTTTCCATTATTATATCTTTATAATAGAATTATTATATCTTTATTATAGAAATATAATTAAGCTATTGCTTATTGGTTCAAAGTTGCATTTTATAAATAAATAAATATAGACTTCAGTCTTTCCAAAAATTAATAGTGAAAAAAACATTACTTGTTACTTGATTTAACAGAATGTTATGTCCTGTATGGTAGCGAAATAAAGTTTTTTGCACTTCATCCAGCTCAAATACTCAATATTCAGAGACATTTCTTAAAACCTGCTGTTGTCGTGTCAATTGCTTTTGTCTAGTTCATAAAAATTTTCTTAATATATGCCACGCTTAATCCACGAATATTAATTTCGAACCTTACAATGCTATCTAGGTAAATAAATGGATTCTTTGCAGCTCTCTCACTCCAGATTGCCTTTTACTCTCATATAGTTTTTGTGCTAACTGTCTTATCAACTAAATGCTAAGCCAATCTGAGGAGCATAATGAAGAATGCATAGAAGTCAGTTACATTAATAGGTGCAAAGACATGGTTACAAATTGTCTACAGCAGGTAGTGATCAAATAGTCATTGTAGAAATTACTTGTAATAACTCTGATAAAATTACCTTAAAGAAAACTACCTGCGTGATGAAATCTACAAATTCTAACTACTTTGTACCATTAACCAAATCTTTTATGCAAAAGATTTGATTCAAAAAAGGAATACAATTATTTTTTATTTTACAATTTTAAGACTAAATTTCTTTTTTTTTCTCCATATTTATACAATGTAAACATACTTTAATGTTTTTACTTTTTCCTATCATCATTTCGTAATGTATGGTGCATGAAATCTATATTATATTAAATATATTGTTTTATACTAATTTGGATTGCGTAATATGTAACAGAACTATTTTCTAGTAAAAAATTTGTTAATTTATTCTTTTATTACATTTTTTATTGTTTGTCAACATTTTACAAATTTGTAGTTTGTTTTTATGTTGTTGTTTTTTTTTTTAATATTTTTTACTCTTAAATGAATACATATTACTTAAATTTATAATTGAATGTGATTAAAACATATCAATAGTATTAGTGAGAATTTATTTTATTATGTTTGAATATTATAGATACCTAAAGATCCTGGTGCTGTTAAATCTTCAGCAAAAGATCTATCATATGTTTTTGGTGGTGCGTATACCCCATTTATACCAAAGTTAGTTGAACTGGTATGGAATACTCCTTTTAATCATCTGGTCAACATGTCTTTTGTATAATTTTTTTAATTAAGTGCAAGGCAAAATTTTTTGTAAAATTTTGAAAAAAATGTTTTTTTTTAGATTATACAAAATGGTTTTTCTCAACAGCTCGAAGAATCTCTCCGCGCATTTCAAATAAATACATTTGAACACAAACAAGACAATGCTGTTAAAGGTTTTCGTTGTATATTTGTTATTATTTGTAATGGGAATGAGTGTTTAATTATAATGATTTTTGCGTTTTTATCTCTGCAATAAGATTCTTTGAGTTTTCTTTAAAATAAAATTATGAATAACAGGTCTGTTTAACATAAAATTATTAAACAAAAATATTATAATACAAAAAAGTTTTTTTAACATATAAAACTGTGGCTCAAGTATACCAAAAGCAAACACAAAAAATTCTTAAATTTTAAAATTTTAGTTTAAATATTGCCTAGTAATACTTTTCGTTAAAAAAAGGGTGAAAGTTTTTTTTTATTGAAAAAAAAAATTCACCCTTTTTTTTTGCATTTTTTTTAAACTTTTACAAGTTTATTTTATATCTGTTAAATAACTTAAATACTATGATGATGAAAAAAAAACTGTTTTATATAAATATTTTTATATAAATATTTTATATAAATATTTTTAATGTAGAGAGCAGCGTTAAATTTAATTCATAAAATAAATTTGTTTCCAATCATACCATTTAAAATAAAAAAAGATTGACTTTTATCAATTGCCTAAAGTTATATATCATTAAACACTAGAATGGTATTGATCTTGTGGTTAAAAAATTGATTGTCTATAGCTGTGTTGTCAAATAAGTTTTTAAATTCTATATACCAAATTTCATGTTAATGTTAATTTCATGTTAATCGATAAGAATAGTTTTAAGATGGTTTAAAATTAAAAAAAACTGCAGTTTGACTTTACAGTTTTAAATAAGTACTTTTTATTTTGTTACTTTTTAGTTGTTAAAATAATTGTTCAATTTGTACTTGTTCAATAAATATTTGGATCATATTGTTACTATTGTTTAACATTTTTGATTGCTACTGTTTCAAACTCTGAAACTTTAAAAAAATAAATTATGAGCATGTACTTTATCAACTTTATCATCATTACCATAATACTACTTATTTATTGTGTTTTCAATTTCAAACAATAAAATTATACTTGAAATTAAATTTTAGGACTTTTTTGTTCCCAGCCTCCGATTATCACAGTTTTTTGCAAAGCATCATTGTTTGACATAAGTATAAACATAAAAATGTTTTGAGTTTGCTCATGTCTGAAAGTCATCTCAAACACCAAAAAATTCTGAATCTGTCACTGATATGATTAACTCATAAAGCCAATAACATAACAGTGTCTACATTATTCGACTAAAATTTAAGTTAATTTAAGAAGTCAATTACAATTTGTGTTAAATATAGGAATAGCCACAGTCGAGTGTACATCAACTGAGAGTTTATATTTTAGGCTAGGCATTCTTTTTTTCAATAAAAAGATTTTCTAGATTTCAAATTTTAAAAAAAATTGTTTTCACAAAACTAAATACCCCCTCCCCCATGTAATAAATCGTCACAATATTGCTAACCCTTCCCCTCCCCCTCCCCCTCTCTAAATCGTGTGACGTAATTTGTTGACGACATAATTTTTTTTTAATTTTACCTAGTAAGTGAAGAATGTTATAACTTTGAGTGAAAAAAACACGTTTTTTAGGAAATTTATGTGTTTAAATACTTGGTAAAAAGTTCTAACCCTTGATCTAATATCACGTCCAAATTAAGGACTTTTTTTAATTTTATTTAAAACATTTTGAAGCAAACTAACTGATCAAAATCCTAATGTTGTTTAAAAAAAGAATAATTAAAAGTCTTAAATATATATAAACAAAAACAAAATTTTTTTATTTTTAGTTTTCTAAAACCTAAGCAGAAGAAGTTGTAATAAACAAAAATAAATTTTTATTTATTTTATTTAATTTAAAATCTAAGTTATAAATTGTCAAAGATAAGATTTTTATAAAAATTTTCGATTTAAGTTTTACAAATTCGCTTTTCCTACATTGAGTATTTTGTAAATGTTTATTTATGTTGTAGATGTTTCTGGTGTAAATAAGGCATCGTTACAAGTTTTAAAAACAGTATTGGTTGTATTTATGGGTGATTGCACACACACTGAAGTAAATGCACTGCGTTTTATTGGCAAACAGCTTGGTATTTATTCTTTCTTTTTTTAATAATTCAATGTTTTTATTAGGGGTGTTCCGTATAAGCTATCTAGCTGAATATCCGGGCCAGATAGGAGAGTTATCCGATATCCGATCTAGCCGGATTATAGTTTTTTTCGATATACCAGATATTTCATGTTAAAGTCATTTAAAAATTAAAAGATTTTAAAAGCCTAGAAATGATATATTTTAAAAATCTAAAAATGTTATATTTTTAAATAATCTAATGTTAATGGTTTCTATTCAATATTGTTATTATTATTATTAAAATACTAATAAAATTAAATATGCGCAACAAATACATCAGTTTATCACTCATTTACAAATTTATTTGCATTATGATTATATAACATTTCTCCAACAGCCTTTATCGCTTTTTCTTATAAATATTTCCATATTCAGAAAACATTCTTTCGGAAATACAAAGGATGTAGGTGGTGCTAGTGCTAACTCTTTTAACAGTGGAAATTTCTCTTTGTGTTTCCAATGATTAAAAACGTCATTATTTTTTTATATAATCGAGTGATTAAAGGAAACATCTACTTTAGCAGCTTTTATAAGGAAGACTTGATCACAATTTATCAGAATCAGAATTGGTCAGAATCTGTTTCACCATTTTGTTTTGTAGTATAATGATAACTTAAGTTTTAAAGATGATTTGTTAATATATTTTATTCAATAGTATGAAAGAAAATGTATAAAAATGCTTAAATCAGCAAACCAACAGTATGCAAAATATAAATAATATTAAAAAAAACAATTTTATAATAAAAATATTAAGAAGTTTTAGAAAGTTCCACTAAAAAAATTAGTTCACTAAATGGTTGCTTATCTAAAGCAGTCATTATAGCTACTTTTTTGTAAATTTGTTTCGACTTTTCATTATTATTATCTAATATCTTTTTTGATGTAATGGTATCTTCAATAGACATCTGCTTTTTTATATCGCACATTTTCTTTGAATCAATGAGCTACATTTTGAACTTTCTTGTGCAGCTGAAGAAGAGTAAATATTAATTTTTTTTTCTCTTCATTCAATTTACAATGAAATTTTTTTGCATGATTATGCACTGGAGTTGTGAAAAATAACTTCTGACCTGATTTGTTACATCCTCTGCTTAACTGCTTTCCACATGGAATGCAAATTGCTGTGGAATCGCAGCTATCATTAATTTTGTAACGAAATTCGTCATTTTGAAGGTTTATTACAGTAATATTTCGTTATAATAAAATATATACTTAAATTTTTAAATATCCGGGTATTCGATATCCGGTCGTAATATTAAATAATGTTATTCGGGACACCCCTAGTTTTTATTATCTTTTATAAAATTATCAACATTTCTACCTTTTAGGCTACAAACTCATAATTTTAACTGGATCAATCGTCACTTCTAAGGATTTCTTAAACAAACTTATCGTGCCCTGACCCAAATAAATTTTGTTGTAAAGAGATCAGCATTTGACGTGGTATAATGCGAAATTACGAAAAAATTCATAATATAATAATATACTCAATTGCAATTTTAAAGTTTACCGTTTATATTAAAATTTTATTTAAAATATAGATATTATTAGTTAGCTGATACAAAAGCACTCTTTTATTTAGTTGATGTTTTAAAGTTAAAATTACTTCCTGGCTATTTATAAATTGGAAGTTCTGAGAATTTATTTTACGAATAAAAATGCGGTTTTTTAGTTATTATTATAGCGTATACTTTTATATGAAATAGTTCAAATATGCTATTGTGAAAATTTATTTTATTATTAACTGATATATCCTCAGCTATGTGTAGATAGTTTGGTAAATATGCATCACTAGGAATAGCCTGAGGATTAAACGGATAAATTTCACACGACTTGAACCCAGATGTAATATTACTAGAAGTCATTGTTTTTTACCAAGCTGAAGCAAATATCCCTGCAAAATTTGAACGACAAGTAATAATTCTTGGAAACTGACCCATCAGATCTTGTGCTGCAGAGCAATAATAATCCTTCAGTAGCTCGAATAAGGTGCGGTCGCATGGTTGAAGCCAGTTTGATGTGTGTGAAAGCATTTCAACTATATGTATCTGGTTCTGGATAGCAATATCAATAAGCTCAATAAAGTTGTGAGAATCGTGTCCTTCCAGGATCAATAACTGAGGACGTTGTGGACCAATGTTTTATAAAAATGTCTTGGTAAACCATAGTTTTGCTAAGCCCTGTTTAGTCCAACCACTATCAGAACAGCTCCAATTTGTTGCCGGAGGCGCGAACTCAGTTTTAAAACCCCACAAAGACCTGGGTGTCTTTCCCGTCACTATAACCTGAGGTGGAATGAACTTGCCCTGTACATTCACACATGCAATAACAGTGATTGACTCTCGATTTCCACTCGTTTGACTATGGAGGTTTTTTGTGCCTTTTCGTGCAACCACTTTTCTTGGTTTTATGTCAAGTTGTAGACCAGTTTCATCCATATTCCATATGGATTTTGGTTTAACGTGAAAACCATTCACCATGACGTCATTCAAAGCACTAAAGTACTTTGACACTTTATCTTTATCCATACACTGGTCTCGAACTTTTTTTCTTTTTTTCTTTTTTTTCCCAGAATATTATGTACAAGGTAAATTACATTGAATATATTACTGGTAGGACTTCCAGAAGATAACACGATCTTATCATGAAGCCCTTTACAATCTATATTAAGAGTTAAAATACTTAAATAAATTTACAAATATTTAAAACAATTTTTAAATGCGTTTATATATTATAATACTCTTTAGATGTTAAGCAAGTTTTAACAATATTTTATAATATATGTGAATATATATATAATATTTCTTAATATTTAATATTACGCAAAAACAAACAAACAAAAAAAAGCAAACAAAAGCTCGAAAAATTACATCAGTTTTCATCAGTATATATGCAATGCCAATATATAATATGTAATCTAAAAAATATTGTCGTTCAGATTACAATTCCTTAATTTTTTTGTGGAATAGGTAATAATTTAAAAATTTAAACCAGTCAGGTATTTTCTTTAGTTCTACATTCATGTCATTAAATAAGTTATTGATGTCATTTCGGGATAAGAAAAGATTAGTATCGTTAGCATACATTATCGTCATAGAATAATGTATGCTAACGATACTAATCTTTTTAGTTAGAAGTTTTATAGAGGTCATTAATATAAATTAGAAATAACAGTGGTCCAAGTATGGAACCCTGGGGACTCCACAAGATATATCTAAAGCAGTAGTTGTTGAGTGTGTATCAATATGCATGAATTGTTTACGATTATTTAAGTAACTTTTTATTAAAATTTAGACTTTACCAGTGATACCTTAATGTTCTAATTTATTTAATAGAATGCCGTGATCAATAGTGTCAAAAGCTTTAGATAGGTCTATAAAAATACCTAAAGTAAATTGTGATTTTTCGAAGGAGTCAGTAATGATTCTTGTGAGTTGAAGTACTGCGTGTTCTGTAAAGTTATTTTTTTTTAAAACCGTACTGATTGTTGTAAAGTATATTATTTTCAGAGAGATAATTAAAAATTCGATCAAATATAATTCTTTCAAGAATTTTGGAAAAAACTGACAAAACTGAAATTGGGCGATAATTCCCAACATTTGTTAGTTCACCACCTTTATATATAGGGATCACTTTTGCAACCTTCATTTGAGCCGGAAAAATTCCTTAAATTATTGAACAATTAAGAACTTTAAATAGAGTAGTCTTTATATTATCGTATGACTTAATAACAATGTTTCCATTTAAATCATCTGGGCCAATTGCTTAAGCATTTTGAAAGCATTTTCAAATTCTGAAAATGAAAGTTCAAAGGCACTTAGACCAGAGGTTAGAGGAAGTTCATAATTATTGATTGGATTTATCATATTTGGAATGTTTTTTGAATGGTTAGGTCCAACAGAAACAAAGAATTTATTTAATTCATTTGCTATTTCTTTAGGATTATCTATTATTTTATCGTTAATTTTAATAGCTTTAGGTAGAGAACACTTAAGTTTTGTTTGCCCGTGATTTTACTAATAATTTGCCAAGTGCGTTTTGAATTGAGTTTATGTTTCTCTAGCAAATTGAAGTAGTTTTTTTTTTTTTTTTTTTTGCATTTTTTTAAATTATTTTTAAATTGTTTAGTATAATTTTTGTAAATTGTTTTGTTTTCAATTGTTTTAGTTTTTAAGTATTTTATATAAAGTTTTTGCTTAATTTTTGAGGACTTTCTGAGGTCTTTATTGATCCACGGTGATTTAAGGCTTTTATTTGATTTAATTATTTTGATTTTCAGGAAATTTGTCATAGATATCATAAAATGTTTCGTTGAATGTTTTATAGACTATGTTTGCTTCTAATGTAGAGTCGATATTTTTCCAGTTAAGTAGGGATAGTTGATCGTTAAATGATTCGATATTTGATTCATTGAAAAAGCGGTAACAAGATTTAGAGAAAAGAAAATAGGGAAATGATCAGACAGGTCATTTTTTATTATACCTATTTTAAACGAATTGTTAAAGATATCGGTTGTTATTACGTTATCTATTACCGAAGTTTCTGTTACTTTTGTTGGTCTGTTTATTAATGGAATAGCGCCGTTCTGAAATAAACCGTCATAAAATGTTTTTATGTTGTTATTAGTTTGATATTCAAAACAATTTAGATTTATGTCTCCAATTAAATAGTTAAGTATTTTTTCCTTTAAACCTTTTCTCAAAATATTATTAAATAAGAATGTATTGAAATTTTTTATTATGCCAGATGGCGGGCGATAACAGCAACTCAAAAGTATATTTTTGGTGTTACTGGTTACTGTTACTCTATTGTTAAGACTTCGCTATTGTCATCAGAGTTACTCATGTCAGGCCTAATAATATACTGCAAGTTTTCTTTTATATAAAAAAGTACACCACCGCCTCGTTTTTTTGATTTTCGTGGATCATTTTAAACCTCCCAGGTGGAGATTTAAGTGAGATTTGGGGTCATCAGAGTCACACCAAGTTTCAGTTAAGCATATTATGCTAAAAATATTTTAAGTTTCTTTTCAATGTTACATAAGTTTTCAAAGTTTTTTTTCAAGCTTCTAATATTAAGATGAACAACATTAAAATGATCCCGTCCTAAAAATTATTTTATTTCCTTGTTATAAAAATACGAGCATTTGCTTTGCAATGCTACTGAATCATTAAAGTAATTTATGTCTGGATCTGAATCAATGTCAATAACTAAATCATTTGTTTGAAATAAATTACATGAGATTGATTCAAAATTGTTTGGGTAATTAGAATCCATTTTTATTTTTATAACAATTTGATAGAAAAAAAAATTATTTTTTTTGAAAATCAAAAATCACGAGTAATAAGTTTATTATAAACTACCTTAGCAAATTTACCTATTGATCTCAAATCGTTCGCTTCTTTAAATAGTCGTTTTCTTATTTCAATCGTTTTGTCGCTAAAGCCTTCATTGACGTAAAGCTTTTGGTTCCATTTGCAAGTTTTATACGGGAAGGTCTTCGCACTAATATTTGAGCTGTTGCACAGTGTATCGCTTCATAAATGCTAGGTGCACAAAAGTCATATCAAGAAATCGACTAATTGATAATATTTTCACAATAACAGTCCTACATTAGTAATAACTTGCGGTGTTAATTATAAAAAACACTCCAGAGCAATGAGTCATAAGCAATTAAAAAGGCGTTAAAATGTAATTTCATTTTTGAAAAAAATTAGTTAAAAATTTATAATGGTTGCATTAACATTTAAGAAGAATTAAAGAAAGCAATCATTTTAATGCAGCGATGGATTTTACTTTTGAGGGTAAGTACTATTTAATTATATTAAATATTTTATTTAAAAGTTAAGCAATATGTATTAAAGAAAGGTTTAAAAAACTGCGTTAAAATTGTAAAATATTTTTTGGTTTTTAATTTTTAAATTTATACAACTTTTTGTATCCACATGTACCAAAGTCCTAAGATGTACAACAAAGAAAAAATTTTCACCACATAAATCCACAATTTTTTTGTTATTAAATTTCATTTAGATCATGTGCGCTCTTTTTCAAAAATGAAGTTATTTGAAGAATGGCGAAGACATAATTAAGAAGAAAAAAATTCTCGTTTATTGAATTTTATTTTGCAAAGATTTGGTGTTACTGATGTAACTGATGTGACTAAAGATTCTGAGAGGTCTTTGCAATTAAAATTTCATGTATGGCTTCAGAATTCGCAATAAAATGGTCTGCAGCACATATGATGATGTACCGCTTTTTAAACAAAAATAAAATTTGGTTAGAGTGGGCAAATGTAGGATTTAAAGTAAGTATATACCAGCAATTCACTTTTTCATCATCTGGAGAAATTCAAGGCAACCAAAAAAGAACTTTGAAGACTCGTCCTTCAAAACCAAAAAACGAAGGGTTGAAAACTTAGTAAAATCCCAAAGTGCAACTAAGTTGACGACAGCAGCTGAAATAGCATGCCGTGTGTTGGGGCACAGAAACCAAGCTACTTTAATCAGACAAAGTCTGGAATCATCAGAAAAAATTAAATCAAAAGACTTTTTTTGTGGTGGCAGGCAGTTAAATCGTGACGAGGCATTAGCTAATTACATTGACTCTAAATGTACAATTCATTCTTATAAACAGACGAGAAAGTGGTCTTTAAAGGCAGGGCATATATTATTTCCATCTTATTA